TTAAATATATTTACTATACAGATTGTTAATTTGTTTATTACTCGCGGCAAGAGCTTTATGGTTGAAATATGGCAACCACGGCCAGCTCGTCGATATACGAAGGGACGCCGCACAGTGTAACGAAATCGGGAAATGCCCAAAAAACAAAAAAATTAATTCATCAAGTTTTTTATATAGATGGATAAATGACATCCCAAAGCTCCACCATGTGAAATATTTCTTGAGTTGACCTCTTAGTCGGGCAGTTATGGCGGGTTAAAGTTATGGTTTCCTTAATTTACCAAATCTGTACAAAAATTTCATACAATGAAATTTATTATTTTCAAAAGTTTCCTTGTGTTGTTCAATTCCAACAATTTTTTCCGTAAAGAGAGGTCTTTTACCAACAACAAACCTGAAAAAAATGTCCCAATTTTTTTCAAGTCTAGTTTCTACATGTTTATTATGACTTTCAAAAAAACGCTTACATTCGCGCAAGGTTATATCTACAAAATATCATAGAGTGAACCTTCTAGTATACTGTTACATATAAATTTCATCCACCTAGATTCGAACCTGGAAGAAAAAAATAAATTTCTTCGGCAATAATTACGTTTTCCATTGATTCGACCGTAGTTTTTATCCGTAATTTTTTGTGCTATAATTCCTTTATTGAAAAAGCTATTCGCTTGCTATGAACATACTGAATGCTATTTTAGGGGCGAGGAACCATCCTTACATTGGGGTGGGGGACAGTTTACAACAATTTAGAATATCTCAACATTGGAGAAAAATTACTCAAGAGAATATTTTTTCAAACCGGCAAAATTTTCTTCGATGTATTTAACACTCCACCCTCAATGCTGGATCATTGTTGGTGCGGTCAGTCGGGTGACGATCATTCAACCGACATTTTCGACCTAAAGCGCCTCAACTCCGATACACCATCTTCATCCACCTGCCCTATCTGTTTAACGAAACCGTCAAATATGAATAATCTTGCAGCGATTTGGATTAAACCAGCCAGAGAAGACGTATACAATTATGGATTATCAACACTTCATATGTGGATTCGGTGTATGGAATTACATGTCTCATACAATTCCGACTTCGAAAAATGGACGGCTAAAGGAGAAAACAAATTAAAAAATGATGAAAAAAAGAAAAAGATTCAAGTTGCTTTCATGGATGAGTTAGGACTAAAGGTGGATATTGTTAAGCAAGGCCAAGGAACAACAAATGACGGGAATACCGCTAGATCATTTTTCGCAAATCACGATATATCTTCAAAAATTACTGGTATTGATAATAATTTGATATATCGCTTTGCGGTAATTTTACAAGTAGTGTCGTCTGATGAAAAGCCTAATACAAGTTCAGTAAGGCAGTACATGAAAGAGACAGCAGAACTATTTGTTTCCCTTGTTGGTACAGGAAGTTAAATACCTGGGAATAACCCTGGACAGTAAACTCCTGTGGAACAGGCATATTAAGAACACTACCAGCAAAGCCATAAAGGCTCTCATGATATGCAGAAGACTGGCCGGAAATAGATGGGGCTGCTCCCCTAACATTTTGCGCTGGATGTATACCATGATAGTAAGACCCATGATTACTTATGGAGCAGTTGCCTGGTACACAAAACTAGAGCAACGGACGGCAAGGCTAAACCTATGCAAAGTCCAGAGACTAGCATGTGTTTGCATCACAGGAGCCATGAGAACCTGTCCAACAGCAGGAATGGAGGCCATTCTAGATCTAACACCACTGCACATTGTCATTGGTAGATATGCCAATGCGACAATGATTAGAATGGTCACTAACGGAATTAGTACTGGGAAAATTGTCAGATCAGGGGCTTGGAACACCCTCAAAAAGGAAATACCACTCCTGCAACTCCCAGTGGACGATATGCCAAGAACGTACAACTTTGACAACCATGTCAATGTAGTATTGAGCAATAAGAAGGATTGGAAGAGCGAAACGCTTGCCCAGCAGTTAAAAGACCATACCATAACTTGGTATACAGATGCTTCCAAAACCAATACGGGAACAGGGATCGGAGTGTTTGGGCCGAGAGCTAATTACTCCGAACCAATGGGCACTTACCCTAGTATCCTACAGGCAGAAATCTACGCTATCGAGAGATGCGTACAACTTATCTTAGATAGGAACTATCGAAAACAAGAAATAGCCATCTTATCTGATAGTCAAGCAGCGTTAAAGGCGATCAACTCAGTATCAATCAATTCGACATTGGTCAAAGAATGCATAGAGAAGCTGAATAAATTAGGCAAAGAAAACAAAGTCCTCCTACACTGGGTGCCTGCTCACCAAGGGATAGAAGGCAATGAAAAAGCAAATAATCTAGCTAGGAAAGGAGCGAACACTCCACTAACTGGACCAGAACCGTTCTGCTTTCCAAGTGGTAACCAACTCAAGGCGGAACTCAAGAACTTGGAAGATTCCATCCGCAACCTGGAATGGAAATCTTGCAATGGTCTAAGACACTCGAAGAAGTTTCTGAGGGCTTATGATCAAGAAAAATCACAGGGATCTTCCTGGGTCTGAGTAAGAACAATCTTCGGATTGTCACGGGGTTTTTAACAGGACACTGTCTCCTCAATGAACACCTCAGTAGATTGAAACTAAGAAGAAACGGCGAATGCAGATTCTGTGGGGAAGATGGGGAAACACCAGTACACCTCATCACTGAGTGCGCCGAGACGACAACCATTCGTGCCATGAATTTGTGGTGGATTTTTTGGTGGTACGACTGATATTGGAGATGGAGAACTACCCTCTATAAAACCGTCCCAGATACTGGCTTTTGTCAAAGCCCTGGGACTGTATGATGAGTTATGATTCAAGAAAGGGGGACACAATGGATCTGTAAGGTCGAAGTGATTAACCCCCCTCCCACTCATTCTAATTCTAAATTCTAATTCCCTTGTTGGTATTATATGCCTTTAAGCATTCATATGCTTTTGATTCATGGTGCAGATATCTGTGAACGTTTGCAATTTATACCCATCGGCAAAATGTCCGAAGAAGCATCTGAATCAAGAAACAAATAATTTCGATCGTTCCGCCAAAATTTTCCAGGAAGAGTGGTCCTAAGGAACCAATTGAAGATATATTGCACAACTTATTGATATATTCAGATCCTCTACTTTCACATCTGCAACGAAACCACTCTAAAAATAAAAAAGTAGACTTGTTTCCGGAAGCGAAAGAACTCTTGTATATGGATGGAGAAGAAATTGAGAATGATTTTTAAGCATGTTTTATGTAAGTGCCTTACATATTATGTTATTTTGGAATAATATACACCCCACATAAATTATCGCATCACTTATTAATTTGGAAAACTGCAAAGTATTCTTTAATTCTCTTGGTTAACAATAATCTCAAAAGTTATTTGCATTAATAGCAACTTGTTAAGGAATGGAAAGTATATCATAACTCAGGCAGACCTTAGATTTAAGTTTTTCACATAAAAATGTTTGAAGCGTTTCAAGAATAAATACTACGAAAAATATAAGTGTTGCAAAATTTTTTGTGAGGTGTGTATTATGGTTTCCTTTGTTGAAGCTGAGTACGTTTTTTTCGCATATTATCATATTATTTAATACTGTTAAAAGATATTTGCCACTTGTGTCGTTCTCTTGAATGATTGTTCGACAGTAATTTGATAACGTTTTTGGTCCATAAAATCTGTAAAGTCCTTTTATAAAAATTCGTATTTTTTTGACCTTCCATTACGCCTTTTTTACTCTTTTCGCCCTGTAGCAAAAATTCCTAGTCGTATTATTTAATTTCTGCCAAAAAATGTCAGCAAGAATGGTGATAACTGAAGAAAAATGCCAATGTCCCACTATTTTAGTTTTCGTTACACTGTGCGCCGACGGGACGAGTCGGCAGAAAATCCTATAAGTACATGCGTTCTCAATAGGCAGTGTTGCCATTCTGTTCCCCTATAAGTAACTGTCCAGTTAACAACCTGTATAGTTAGTTATTATAAAAAATAATATATTTAGAAATGTTTTGTGTCAAAGGTTCAACAGATACTGTCTTATCATAATTTTTTATAGAAAAATGTATGACTAATTAAAAAAAAACAAGTTCCCAAATTTCAATAAAATAACTATCTAGTCAACATGATTATTTTTTATCAATGACCACATGTGAAAAAATGTGTATTTTTTTACTCAGTAGTTTTAGGGCAAACCGCCTAGCTACGTTCAAACACCGGTTCCCATTAGAACACCGAAGTTAAGCGACGTAAGGCGATACTGGTGGATGGACGGGTGACCGGTTCGAAACTCTGTATCGTGCTGTTGTCCAAGGGAAAAGTGTAAAATCTATTGATACACACTGCTCATTCACGCCGGTTCGAGGCCGGATGAGATCGGATATCTCGTGAGTAAGAGTTAATTTGGACAATTCCCAAGTCGGTAGGCCACTGACCATGATATGGCCGAGGACCGCGGTTCGGATTCCGCGTAAACAAAGTAGGCCCCGTCCAGATTAGCCCTGGCACTTTTCAGTAGTTTTATACAGGTACAGGCGAAAAGTTATTTCATTTCAAATGCTCTACAAGGAGTAAGTCATAATGACATCAAAATCCGAATTTATCATGTCAAAAAATACCCAGACACCAATTTTCATCCACATATTGACTGTTGCTTCAAAAATTATTTGGTAAAAATCGAAGTTTTACACGAATAAAAATGAAAGTTTTACACCCTGTATCTGGGAAACGAAGCAATTTAGGACGTACAATTATTCGAACTTTTTTGCGAATTTTTATCTCGAGAATATGCTACCAAAGTTTCTCGAATGTTATTCGGACCACCCTGTAGATTAAAAGAATATGGATTTAATTTAAGAAAAATAGTTAATTTAAACTGAATTTTCCACAACTAATTAAATCAACAAATAAACTAGAAAATAGCGCAAAAGTTTTACCGCGGAGAAAATCAAAGCATTGACCTTAGTTAAGCGATATAAGCCAATAAAACAGACTTGGATCAAGTCATTTCACTGTTGTCGCTTGAACAGCTTGGTATCAAACAACCACGATTCATTCTTCGACACAATTAAGAAAAAAAATCAAGATAAACTTACATTAAGACGAGAAAATAAGTTTGCAAAATAAAAATTATTGGATACCAAGCTGATATCAAGCTGACTGCATCAGAAAAAAATCAAAAAATTGTGCGGCGAAAAATATTCCGGCTGAAAAGAAAATTCTTAAGTGGTGAAAAGAAAATATTTGGTGAATTCGAGTTTGTAAAAGTTTGTGATTAATTGTATTAATATTTTAATTCAATTTGTTGTGATACAATGTTGGAAGGATGGAGATTGGCTGTGTCAAAACGTAAGTAGAAAATATTTTATACCTAGTTTTATATAAAATTATGGAAAAAAATACAAATTTTTTTGAGATGTAGAACGCATAAAATGCATTTAAGTGCATTATTTTAAATTAATTAATAGGATAAAAATAGGGTATTACCTCCGAATTCTTGACACCCGCACCGATTGATGTGAAATTTTAACAGTGAGTAGAGATATATGTAAGAAACAAAAGTTACATAGTAGCGATGTGTGCTTTCACCCTGGGGGTGAGTGTCACCCCTTCTCGGGGGTGAAAAATAAATCACCCATTTTAATTGCAAAAATCAAAATAGGGATAAATTCTAAGCATAAAATATTCTATAAAATTTTTTCAGAAAATTATTATTTTCCGAGTTATTTAGGGTTGAAAATGTTGATTTTTCATCTAAAAGCTGAATATTTTTTTCCATTTTTTTATAAATAACTCGAAAACCTTGCGTTTTATCGCAAAACTCATATAAGGCAAAAATGAAGCTTTTGGAATAATGAATCGATTTATTTTTTGCTGATTATCGTAGGTGTAATAATATCCGAGTTATCACTCTGTAAAGGTGATTTTTTATTTTTCGAAAACTAAATTGCAACACTTTTACTGTAAAATAATGGCGAAAGAATACATTTTTCGAAGAAAATGAACGTGACCGTTGTTAAAGTGCTCGAAAAGACCTTTTAAATGCTTTTTTAAAAAAGTTCGTAACTCAAAACCTCGCGGAGTTATGATAAAAATAAAATGGTCACCTCATTTTTTCGGAAAAAAATTAACAACAAAATATATGACTAGAATCATAAAAAAACTATCATTTTGTATAACCTCTATAGTTGAACCAAGTTGAACAGTCCCGAACTCTTCATTTTTACGAGATTTTTGGGTTTTAAGGGCTCATAGAAGGTGGTCCATACACGCAAGTCAAACTAAAAAACGTAATATCTACGAAATAAAGAGATCTACAGAAAAATTGAAAGAACGTAAAAAGTTTGCAAAAAAAAGACCTTCAATTTTGCTCTGTTGCATTTTTGCGTATCTCGCTTGGTTTTTGGTACTTGGTAATATTTGAGGGGTAGTTTCATCTCGTTGGAATTTGACTTTCGAAAAATCCGTTTGCCAAAAATAAGCTTTTTACGTCAAGCAGTTTAAGCAGAATCGTGGTTAATCAATTACCCAACTTTTTGGAACACCCTGTATGATTTTTTAAAAAATTTCAAAATACGTAAAAAAACCAAATAAATTATGCTTGTCCAAGCGTTTTCCCGAAAGACTAACCGTTTTTTAAATAACAAATATTGTAATATTTGTGGGGCGTTTTCACCCTCTTGGAATTTGAGATTCGAGAAACCCCTCCTTATCGAAGCTCTACACCCCACAGTCAATCCGTTTGGCAAAAAGCAGCTTTAAACGTCAAGCAGTTTAAGCAGAATCGTGATTATTCAATGATCACATTTTATGAAATACCCTGTATAAATTTATAAAAAATCTTAAAATATGTAAAACAACAAAATAAAATACACGTGTTTAAGAGTTTTTCCGAAAAACTCACCGGTTTTTAAATAAAAAATATTTTAATATTTGAGGGATAGTTTCACCCCCTTAGAATTCGAGTTTCGAAAAATCCCTTCTTATCGAACCTCTACACCCTAAAGTCAATCTGTTTTCCAAAAATCAGCTTTTTACGTCAAGCGCTTTAAGCAGGATCGCTATTAATCAATGTCCAGATTTTTCGAAACACCCTGTATACATTTTTAAAAAATCTTAAAATATGTAAAAAAACAAAATAAAATATACGTTTTTAAGCATTTTTTCGGAAACTTGCCCGTTTTTTAAATAAAAAATATTGTAATATTTGATGGGTGGTTTCACCCTCTTGGAACTGGAATTACGAAAAATCCCTTCTTATCGAACCTCTACACCCTAGAATCAACCTGTATGCCAAAATTGAGCTTCTTACGTTGAGTGGTTTGAGCAGTATCATGATTAATCAGTATGTCAGTTACTTAAGGATTTTATATGTTAGTATAGATAATACACTAGACACTAGTAACATAAATAACTATTTTTGATGTGTAAACATTTTTTTTTCAAACGTCACAAAAGTATTACTTTTTCGGACGTGATTGATAATATAAAAAAGTCATTTTAACGCCTAGGCATTTAAAAAATAGGAAAATTAAATTCGAAAATGAAATTGCACATTAAATTGGTTAAAAACTCAGTAATAGAGATAACTGATTATACACCTTTTACCTAGCAAACATGTTTGTGTAAATTGAGATAGAGATATAATATATTGTGATTGTAGTTTGACTTTTACACGGTTGTCTCATTTAATAATGCACATAACAGACAAATAGAGTGAGAAAAAAAATCAGGAAAAATTCGTTTTTTTCTCAAATATCTCCGAAAGTAAGTGACTTTTTTAGATTTTGAAATATATAGCGTTGTTAAGACTTCTCAACTTTTCTCTAATTTAATTATCCTTGTAGAAATGCCAAATCGAAAAATTGTATAAGAAAAATTAATTTTATTTATAAAAATAGCAATCACTTCTGGAATTTTATTATACAGGGTGAGTCTTAAATAAGTGTAAATATTTTTAGAGGTAGTATATTTTGACCTCAGAAACACGATTATGAGTTTTTTTTCGCTAAAAAATGTTTTTGAATTTTTTTTGGAATTTTTTTTAGTTTATAGTTTAATACATAATTTCTTCATAATATGGAAACAACATAGGTAGTAAATTAAAGTTACGAGAAAGAAAATCCAGAAAAGATCCAGTGATTCTCAAAATTGAGGCAATTTTTTTTGAGTTTTTCCAAGTAAAATAACTCTGTTATTTTGGACTTATTTGAAAAACGGTAAAGAAAAAATATGTTTCTTTTCTTGAGATCTAGCAGCTCTGAGAATGTTATTCTTATATAAGACTCGTCCTGTATTTATTTAATAAATTAAATATTTAGAAACTTTTATACAGTATGTCCCCGGATTTTCTTTACAGGAGGAACAACTTTTTTATTATTGACATTTTGAGAAAAATGCATTCTTGATAAAAAAAAATGTTGCTTATTGTCCTTTATACTTTTCCAAATGTCCATACCGTTTTAGAGAAAATTAAAAAAGCATGAAAATATAGTTCCTAAAACTCAAAACGCGTTTCTATGGTATTATAATTTCGTTTTTATTCTTTGATAGATTTATGTTGATAGAATTTTAATTAGTCATATTTTTTGCTGTCTTAAAATGATAAAGAAGCACATTTATTTAGTGCAATACTACGGAAAGAGTGATAATAGTTATCGCGGAAAATGTGATACTTTAGCAACAGCACAACGTTAATCAAAGCTTATAATCTGTGGTCTGTGGTAATAATTTATCAAAGAATGAAATCGAAATTATATATATCAACCATATTTTTATGTTTTTTTTTTATTTTCTCTAAAACGGTGTGGAAAATTGGATTAACCATTTTAGAACAAGCAAAAATGTTTACGAAGAATGCATTTTTCTCAACATGTCAATAATAAAAAAGTTTGTCCTCATATAAAGACAATCCGAAGACATACTGTATATTGCATTTATAAAGCATATAGTAATTTTTTTACTACAAAATCTTTTAATATTTAAAAAGCAATCAGTTCTAGAATTTGATTGTATTTTATTTTATAAATTAAATGTATTTACGAGATTAAATATAGCAATTAAAAAGAACAGTAAATTTTTATTACAAAATCAGAAACCAGTTTTGATTTTTTTCACAAAAAAATTATAAACATGCTTATAAAACTACGTATCATACTAAAATCTAATTATTAATTAAATTGAAAAGTGTGTTAAATTATATATAATTAACTAAATTGTATTTTAATATATTTTTCAATCATCAAAATAAAAAAAAGCATAATGAAATATAGGTTGTCATTATATAAAAATTTGAGATAGCAACATTGTATAGGAAATAAAGTGTCATTAAAGTTGATTTTCTTCATTTCTTGGTTCTTCAGTTACTTTCTCTTTAAAATTTTTATATGAAACAAAATTATTATTTTTTTTATTTAACAGTGATTACATCCTTAATTTTTTCACACTTATTTATAAATACCCTGTATATTCATTGCCACAGTCATTAATACATACAATAATCACCAACAGCTATGTGTTTTTTCTTATTTTAAATATATATGTGTTTTTTTTTAATGTATAACAAAATTACGTATTTTTTCTCTATCAATAAGGATTTATCTAAAATTAATTAATACGCTGAGACAGATTTACTATAGTAATTATGGTTTTTCTGTTTAACTTAATTATGCTTTGTTTTCTAAACTATAAATTAAACACTGTAACATCATAAAAATAAAATATAATGGATATACAGGGTGTAGGGTAGTGCCCAAACGTTACTTTTTTCAATTATTTTTAACATTAATTTTAAAAAGCATTTAAATAAAAATGCTCTTTAAATTGTTTTATATACATGACCTCTATAACTTTTTTGTTTTTTTAGATAAAAAAACAAAACTTGGTATGATTGACGTATTCAATTGTTTTTGGTCACTCCCTGTGTCACCGGAAATTACTACAACTTTTGATTTTGAAATAACACTCTCGGTATTTTTTTACTTTGTTCCATATAAAATTACATTCTGAATAGAATGACATATCATTTGTCAACTTTTGACATGCTGTAGCGTTTTTTATAAACATTACCACTGCGAACGGCAGCTTTTCGTTGGTAGAGCAGTCGTGGATAAGGTATTTCACTGGAAAGATCTAATTAACAATAATAACTCGGAATTATAAATATTGGGCGCCAGGCATGGACAGAGAAAGAAAACACAGTTGTTTATTACTTAAAACTAGTGACTAGTGAAATAGGGGTGAGCCACTTTTGAGACGCACCCGGTATACATGTTGAATCAAACAAAATGTTTATTTTTTCATGATTTTAATCAAACAACTTTGTTAAGCATTTTTCTTACCCTAAATCA